AAATTAAAGGCTATCGCGGAAAAATTTGAGGGGGCGGATTCCGCCCCTAGCCCCTTTAGGCTTAATCATAAACGTATTCTTGTTGTCAAAAAAGATGACCGACTAAGGGAGAATAAAGTCACATACCTGTCTCATCAACCATTTCGTAGCTTCCTTGCTCCCCATCACCAGTTGAGCAGCGTCTCCGACATCTCCATACCAAGCACAAACCAACAGCCATGATGAAAATTGCAGATAAACAGACACATACGATTATAACAAGTGTAGGCATATGCTCGTCGGCACCTGTCAGTTATAAATTACAAATAATTAGTTTTTGTAATCAACACATTGTGAAATTGACTCCTTCCAAATATCGTCCTACCATAGGACCGGTATTTGCTCCTCTGTAAACCACAAGCGTACACCCTCTGTTTTTACATGGTCCTCAGAGAGGGCGCACTGTGCGAGGGGTCTTTTAGAAAAGAGATTGGCAGTTGCTTGGCAGGCAACAATTAAACTCATTCTTCAAATAACATCATGTTTCAAATTAATATCAATAGATAAATGAAAGTATTTTTCGTATTAATAATTTGAAATCCTCTGTACTCACTTTTGATGATAACATCCACGTAGAATCTCTGCAACACACTACCGTAGGGAAAGACGTGACACCAGTATCTGACGTCAGATTCTCGGGGACACTTGTTCAGGAGGAGAGTTCCTGCAGATGTTATGCCGAAGCAGCCGCTGTGTCCCAGCTGAGACATCTCCGGAGTGCCACCTGGTAGATATAGCCGACCAATTATAGTGGTCGTTGTCGCTTTTGGCGGGCCATACGACCAGAACACTGTTGACTTATTCATCCCGATGGCATTTGTACCAGCGGGACATTTTAGTTCTTGTATCTTAGAAGGGTCAAAGGTTACAGTGATATTCATGATGACAGTCCCGTTATCCAGAGGAAATGTGTCACCTGTTTTAAGAATGTATGAGAACAAACCGTAGTGCATTAAACTTGAATTTACAACTCTGGGTTTTGAAAACAAACCGCTTATAAGTGATTAACGTACATACTTCAGTTGATTATTTAATCAAATCTGTCATGAGTTTTAAAAAAAATGAAATGAAAGTAAACTGTACAAGTTTATAATACTTAAAATACAGTATAATTCAAATGTTATGTATTTGCCAATCAACATAAAAGCATTGTTCAAAACCATAATAATGCATGACGTACCGAATACATGAACGTCGATTGCGACCTCGTGTGTGGAATTGCTTGTCAGGATACACACATACCTTCCTGTATGGGTGTCATTAACGGATTTGATAGACAGACCAAAACCATCACCGACACCGAATCCAGGATGGGCGTCAATGCCATCAATCGACAGTGAGTAATTGAGGATTAAATTTCGACCCAAAGAGGGGGCGACAATAAACCATTGTACCATGCATAGGTGATCACCGGGCGACCATGCAATGCAGGGAATGGTTTGATTTCTTCCCTCCTCAATGTAGAAAGATGTGGCCGAGGCTTGAAGAGGGTAGTCAGCGGGATTCTCCTCTAGACAAAAACAGAAAACAGGACAAGGCACTCATAGCAAAACTAGTCTCAGAGCACACACAATTTCATTCAACTGGCTATTCATTACAAGACCTTTCCTACATCATGTCTACAAATAAGGCTGGACATAAAAGTAATCCAGCCATTAAGTTCACTCAGTTACTCTGCCTCTGAGTCACTCAGTCGGGGAGTCAGTCAGTCAGTCAGTCTATTGGTGAGTGAGTCGCTAAGTTAGGAGGGAAATGCTGTCTTTGTTGCAATCCACTGGAGTAGATTGTTTTTTGATATATAGGGGTTTTATATGTGAACTATGACATTGACATACCTTCAATATGAACATCGAAGAAGCAGTTGCGCTCTGGAAGATCTGCCATGAAGACGTGACACCAAAAACGCGATGCATTACTAACTCCACTCAAAAAGTTGATTGTGAGGGAAGAATCGCTATTAATACTGTAATCTGCGCCATCCTGGAACTGAACCAAGGTCCCATCAGAGAAACGTGCACCAATGATCTGTGTCTCCATAGTGACGCCCTCTCCTGTTGACCAATACACTACGGATATGTTCGCATCTGGTGCCTGTGACGCGCAAATACACTGTATCGTCTGTCTGCGTCCTCGCTGAAAAGTAACATTCGATGATGCGTGAGTGGTGCAGGCTGGAAAGGTGTCACCTAAAATCACGTCAAAGAATTGAAACCTTCTGACAGTTAACTGTTATATACAAGAGGAGTATGGGTATAAATAAGTCGTATTCTATAAAAAAAAAAAAAAAAAAAAAAAAAAAGTAGTAGTAGTAGTATTAAGCCTCCCCTAACGTACATGTTTTCAACCAACGGGCGAGATAAATTAGAAAATCTACATTTAGCAGAATTCAACATGACCACAACATTGACTCATTGCTTAGGCTTGTGACGTCTGCTCTGTTATATGTTTTTGCCTCATCTCCTATTATTTATCAATAATGTCATCACGTACATGCTTTTTAGCTTGTGTGCAGAGGGCTATATGGTGCAGACAACTGACCCGATGATAATTTTTAAAAAGCCGGTGCAATGACTGTGATATATTGCTTAAATCTTTGTCTTCCATTTCAGTGACATTGTAAACTTCACATTACCATTTGAAAGATGTTTGGTTGTTTTTATGCTAATGCAAATGTACATATTCTTGAGCAAAACTAAAGCGTTATTCAAGACAGTAACTTCAGTTTCACATTGCTTCAGCATAAAAAGTCAGAAGACACTTAAGGTTTGCTATGGCTAATTTTATGCTTTTAATCCTTCATAGGGGTTTTTCAGTAAAAGACAGTATCATGACAAAACTTGACGCACAGAATGTTTTCAACAGTAGAATTTGCACTTAATAAGTGATGCCGAGCTTTGAAATAGTGTCATCATGTTTATGTTTAGCCCGGTGACATACAATTTAGACGTCAGGGTGTCAGTGAATTGCCATGTCAGTGAACCATACTAGGTTCTCCCGATAGCAACACACATGTTTGTTTTATTACTTTTTTTCTCACATGGAGTACGCAGCCAAACACTTACTATTAATAAATAGTGTCTGTGTATTTCGTGATTTATTTACTGACAGACTAGATGTTCATGTAGAAGTTTCTTACCGATAACCTGCATGTCCGTCTTGTCATCCCTCGCACTCGTAGAACGCGGCACAACCTGACAAATGTATCTCCCTGCATCGCTCTCTATGACATCCTTGACGACGAGACTAAACTCTGACGAATATGTGTATCGATCGCTGATTGGAAAGTATTTGTTGTTAGCGTAACTGTTAACGACTACTCTGTTGGGGTCGGAAACGCTCTGTCCCCGGAACCAGTATATGGCGAGCAGGTTCTCCCCGGAACGATAGGATCGACAAGGAATGCGGTGCCACAAGCCGAGTTGGAAGTTCCCTTGATTGTTGGCATCAAAGAAAACATCTTGGACATTCGTTTCTGTAAAATGACAATGGTCGCAATTTAAGAGATCCGGCAAGACAAAAGTCGCAAATGAATCGGCAGCCGTGTCACCCGTAAACTGTGTACGCGTGAGTATGTAAATATATGTCCTGTGATTCTACTATACTATGATCACGAAAATAATTGGATTAGGTAACTGGGCGCTGGCATTTCCCCACCGGTCTCCCGTCCCGCCTGCGCCAGTTTGCCGCGGGGGATGCCGAACGGGGCCCGGCTATTTCCACCCTTTTTCCCATGATTCCCTTGCGTGCGGGCAGCGCCATTTTGTCCTGAATTGTCGCGAAAATTGTCGCGAAAATTCGTGTGTTTGTGCTTCGGGTGAGGAAGAGAGTTGATGGACTGGACTTTAAAAAAACAATCGTTGACATGTATAGTATTAGATTGAGGGTTGCGTGTTTTTTGGGACGATTTTTTTCCTCGATATTCCATCGGACTAATTGGGCCGCGCCGTCTTGCCTTTGGGCCCCTGAGTTACGTGGTACATTTATTTGCAGATCAGCCTGATAAGAAATTCTAACGGTGGCCATTTATTGTCCCGCGCGAACATGTCGGTTTTCATACTCAGTCGTACGCACAATACTCACCTCATATGCATCTCTATCATTTTGTGTAAGTTTTATGTACGCAGGCCTACGCATGGTGCGGCCCAGTACGCAGGATAGTTTTGGGCATACACAAAACTACGCTGCGTACGCTGTTACGCAGGTCATAAGTTATAAATACGCAGCGTATCGGTCCCGCATCGGTTGAGCGCGGTACGAGAACGCTATGTGTTCATGGGGGATAAGCCGTTCATAGGCGGTAATACGCTGACCTCCTATATTGGACGTATACATAGCGTACTTGCAGCGCAGATACAACGCATGCTGAACGAACTCATATCGCATGCCGACGTATTGCACGAATTAGTACCGCTCGTCCTGCGAGCGCATTGTACTTATGAGAAACGCACAGATAGCGAACTTGCGCACTGCATACGCAACTCATACGCATCTCATACGCAGTAGATGCGCTGAATTCGTTACTTGTTCGCTAGATGTGCGTCAAACATAAGTCAAAGTAATCAAAAAAATTCGACGTTTTTGATCGTACGGCTTTGTATTGAAAATGTTCGATAAGGAACTCATGAGGAATTGGGATACGCAAAAGTGTGACTGGGGCTTAATGCGGCGGGAATTCGCTCAGAAGTGCGTCAAGCATGCGGGTTTTTGGGGGGTTTTTTTGGAATACGCTCTGCATGCGCACTGCATACTGATCTATTTGCAGCCCGAAAAATAATGTTGTGCACTGCATACGCAACTCATACGCATCTCATACGAAATGGATGCGCTGAATTCGTTACTTGTACGCTAGATGTGCGTCGCACATAAGTCAAAGTGTTCAAAACATTTCGACGTTAATTGAGCGTACGGCTGCGTATTGAATTTTTTTGATAAGGAACTCATAAGGAATTAGGATACGCAAAGGTGTGACAGGGGCTTTAGGAACGATTGATCCTGCTCACGGAAGTTCTTGCATATACCGAACATAAATGTAAGTACTGAACATGCAGCTTGAATGTCTTCATCCTGAAATGTGAACGTCTCAACAAACATATGCACATTATGGTCGGTTCAAACTGCGCGATGGAGGTGAATGAAGTGCCACGTACGTTGCGTACCGTAATCCCTTTTGCCGCACACTTCCTCTGCACAGCATATGGTGATGGTCGTTTGATGGGCGTTTGATGCAACAATTTTCTCTTTCAACGGTAAGTCCAATTTATAATATGACATACGGTTCTCTCATTTTGGAAATATATTGTAGTCATTCTTTCTAACGACACTGACGATGACATAAATCATGAGAAACATTTTCAATGTTGCCGTTTCCACATTGTTTGGGAAAATGGCTCAATCGCGTAGGCCTCCGACATTGATAGTATGGTTTTACTCAAAGAAACATTTTTTTTCAAATCACAAATAAACTTATGCCATTCGGGCCTCGGACATCGACAATATCTTAGTTTTACTCAAGTAAACTTTTCCAAATCACACGCATTTCATAAGGTTCTGTCTTCTGTGAATCTGTCTTCTGTGAATCTGGCATCTATATTTCTGCCCAAACTTTTCCAAATGAATCACAAACAAATTAATGCCATTTCAAATAAGGTTCTTATTTACGTGTACAGGGTTAAAAAGTAATGAAACTTAATCAAAGAAATGATTAGTGAAATTCAATATTAAAACATGCCAAAACAAGAAGAAATATATTATGTAGGACCACCGCTAATCTTGACAACTTTCTTACATAAAAGAACATTCCAGACAATGATGTCCCAAAGAATACAAAATAAGAAAATATGTTTTCTTCTAGCTCACTAGTATGCATAGAGCATGCACTGAGTATTTTTAATAAGAAAAGTATCCTCCTGTGTTGCAGGGGATTAACGCCTCACAAACCTCAGAAACTGTACAGCGCTATGAGGCTGAAGAAAGGAATGTAAGGTATGCAAATCCTTGGAATAAACAGAAGGGCAACACACAGTATGGGGGAATCCAGCACGTATCCTATCTGATTCAAGGGTTATAATTTTTATAGGCCACGAAAAGAACATAAAAATGATGCAAACTAAATTTTTGCGGAGATCTTAGAACAGGGCAGTCATAGAAAAAACTTCCTTAACAAATTATCTTCAAAGGCAAAACAAAATTAATTTACTGCAAATCAAAGATTAATAACCAACTTAAATGACTGACTCCAAAAATTAAAAACTTCAGACTACAACAAAGTTTGAACCTCAAGCCAATGTTTCGTTGTTTGGCATGTTTGGTTGGTACTACAGTAGTACATTCTGCATAAATGGGGTATAGCGACACCTGAATGTCTTTCATTTTAATATATGTAGCTATTGTTAGTCGATTTCTTTTTACAAGTTTTGTTCACCTTAGTCGTTATTTTTTTTGTTACTCCTTTACACAGGACTCCCTGACAACCACATCACACGACCAGCTCCAACAAGCTCCAACCATGCTCCAACCAGTACCCAAAGCAACAATCTCAACTCAAGACAAAGACGTGGCACACCTATTCTTTCCAGTTACAACTGCAAGATTCCTGCTCCTTTTCCTCACCCGTTCAAAACACATTTTTCTTCTAGCCATAATTTCATATTTAGAAGTCATGATATTATGCAAATAATAACTCTATTCTGACGTTTTAGTTCCATCCCTTTTTATTGATATATTTGTGCCCTTGCCTTAGTTGTACCCAAGAATAATTATGACATAAGTACCAGATAAATACTGGCGAAGCAGACTGTGTCAATCTGTGAAAACTAACATCACTGCAGTAGACCTATACTGGCAAACTTATTTGATAAACCAAAAATGTTTTGATTACCAAATTACATAACCACTCTTAGAATTCAGAATAAAATATTCATAAAGGCATACCCCTCCATTTCTCATCAGTATTCATCAACACTCATTAAAAAATGTTCTCCTGTAACTTACAATGCCCCTGTCATTATTTATGATTACACCTTTTCACAAAAATAACTGTGACTGCACAATAAAATTTGGCCGTCTTGCTTGAAAGTCTTTCATGATGCCTATGTAACACAACTCTGGACCGACGTCCCTTGCGAAAATCGCTCCGAAAAATTGACCACAATTAAATCCTCTGAGTTTTGTCAAAGTACTACACTGTAAGGAATGTAAAGACATTATTTACTCAAACATTTCGTGCATGCCTGATTTCATTTTGCCAGTTTGTAATAAACACATTGTAGTAACTTGTTCATCACTGAAAGTGTTATAGCGCCCTTTGTAGTTTGCCATTGAAAGCCTGTAACTGGGTGTTCCAATATGGCTGCCCACTGAGAAAGTCACGTAGAAATAAACAGTGATTGCAATTCCCAAATTATTGTGTTTGCCTGGTTATAACAATTGGCGACGAGGTAAAATGAATACCTTCGGGAATATAGGACAGTTTCATGTTGAGAAGGAGACATGGCAGCTGTATGTGGACCGTTTGAGGCAGTTTTTTTTAGGCGAATGATGTAAAAGCGCTGGGTAAGAAAAGAGCCATACTGTAGAATGTCTGTGGGGCGGATACATTCAAGTTGATTTACAGCCTAGTCGCGCCAGACACACCGGGGGATAAGACATTTGATGAACTGCTTTCAATCACCAAGAACCATTTCAGCCCAAAACCATCTGTCATAGTTGAGAGATATAAGTTTAACTCCAAAGTTAGGCAACCAGGCCAGACAGTTTCTCAGTTTATTGCGGAACTACGTCACCTCGCACAACACAGTGAATAAGGGGATACTCTCAATGACATGTTACGTGATCGCTTGGTGTGCGGTATCAATAATGATCGGATTGAACGTAGACTGTTGTCCGAATCTACTCTCAAGTTTGATAAGGCTTGGGAAATAGCTCGAGCTATGGAGCTGGAAACGAAAAATGCCAAGGATATCCAGCAACATATAAGCGACTGGAGGCCAACAACAAGAACAAACGCACAAAGTCGGCAGTGTAAAGCCCCAGGGGAAGGGTAGAGGGAGGCCACAAACTCACAGTCAAGCACAAGACAAGTCAAATGGGCTTCGCAAGTGCTATCGCTGTGGACGAACAGACCACACATCACAGAACTGCCGAGCTCGCACATATAACTGTAATAACTGTGGAAAGCAAGGCCATTTGGCCAAAGTGTGTAGGAGCAGTAAACCCCCACAGACACCGTCCTCTACGCGTACGCAGTCAAAGCACAACACATACAACATTGATGGAAATGTTGATGTGGATGAGAGTGCGCCCCCTACAAATAACTACACCATGTACAAGACAATTTCACAGACGAAAGAGCCTCCGTTGTTAGTAACTGTGTCCATCAACGGCAAACCGGTGACCATGGAAATCGACATTGGTGCCTCGGTTTCCATCCTCAATGAAAGCGCATACGAGTCGGTGTTCGTTGACAACAAACGGACACTCTGCAAGGACACGGACATTGAACTCCGTACATACACTGGTCAGAAAATACCAGTCAATGGTAGTTGCACCATTGCAGTTGAGCACAACCAAACCGCTCAATTGCCGCTTCTCGTCGTGTCAGGCACGGGACCCAATCTTCTTGGCCGGAACTGGCTACGCCATCTTCAGTTAACATGGAACACAATCCGTCAAGTGAATTACACACCTGTTCCGATCGACATCACAGGACAGTACAGTGAGTTGTTTCGCGATGAACAGGGAAAACTCCAAGGTCAACAGGTGCACATCAGCGTAAAAGATGACGCAAAGCCGAAATTCTGCAAAGCCAGACCGGTACCCTTTACCATGAAACAACAAGTGGAGGATGAACTCGATCGACTCCAAAGAGACGGAGTCATCGAACCTGTCACATTCTCTCGTTGGGCATCCCCTATTGTACCCGTGATGAAAGAGTCAGGGAAACACTGATACTTACCCGCTACCTCGCATCGATGAACTCTTTGCTGACATGTCAGGCGGGAAGACCTTCAGCAAGCTGGATCTCAGTCATGCCTATCTCTAGCTTGAACTTGAGGAGGAGTCACGTGAACTCCTTACCATCAACACGCACAAGGGGCTATTCCAGTACACGCGTATGCCCTTTGGTGTATCTGCTGCTCCTGCAATCTTCCACAGGACTATTGGAAGTCTTTTGGCAGACATCCCCCAGGCAGTCGCATTTCTTGATGATGTGCTAGTCACAGGAAAGACTGAAGCAGAACATGTCGCAAATCTCAACAATGGTCCTCAGTCGACTTCAGAGTGCAGGACTCCGTCTAATGCGCGAGAAATGCGTCTTCTTTGCCCCTGATGTGGTGTACTTGGGGCACCGTATCAACGCAGCAGGCTTGCATCCTACAACAGAGAAGGTTCAAGCAGTCAGGGATGCATCAGTACCACGTAACGTGACAGAGCTGAAGTCCTACCTAGGATTCTTGAACTATTATGGCCGATTCATGCCGAATCTGTCATCAGTTCTTGGGCCACTCCACTTGCTGCTCAAGAAAAACGTCCGCTGGTCATGGAGGCCAGTACATGAAGAATCCTTCCGAGCTTCAAAGGATTTGCTGTTGTCAACCAGAGTGCTTGTGCACTATGACCCAAGTAAACGGTTAGTATTATCTTGCCAGCCCGTACGGTGTGGGCGCCGTGCTAGCCCACCGCATGCCCGATGGATCTGAGGACCCAGTCACCTACGCTTCGCGTTCGCTATCGCCACCAGAGCGAAAATACTCACAGCTGGATAAGGAGGGACTAGCAGTGATCTACGGGGTGAAAAAGTTTCACCAGTACGTGTACGGTCGCCACTTCGAGATTGCTACCGATCACAAACCGCTGCTAGGACTGTTCAGTGAGCGACCAGTATCCCCTATGGCGTCGTCCAGAATTCAGCGCTGGGCCCTCACACTCGCAGCTTATGACTATCACTTGGTTTACAAACCAGGTCACTTGAATGGCAATGCTGACGCCTTAAGCAGATTGCCACTGCGGGACACCATCAGCCATACCCCGGTTCCAGCAGACTACGTCATGATCATGGATCGCCTTGAATCTACCCCTGTCAGTCCAGACAAGTTTCGTCTCTGGACTGGGAGAGATCCAACCTTGTCACTCGTTCGCACCTACGTTATGAACGGTTGGCCACGTGACTGTCAAGATCAAGGACTGAAGCCATACACTTGCCGCTCAGAGAGTTAAGCGTGCAAGATGGCTGCATCTTGTGGGGATCTCGAGTCGTCATTCCCCCGCAAGGCCGATCACAGATCATCGAAGAACTACACGATTCACACCCTGGAATTTTGCGAATGAAATCACTCGCTCGCAGCTACGTCTGGTGGCCTAGTATGGACAAAGACCTTGAAGATAAGGTCAAGCAATGTTCAGCCTGTCAATCCTCGCGGAAATCGCCACCAACTGTTCCACTCCATCCGTGGGAGAGGCCAGTCGTCCATGGTCGCGCTTACACTTGGACTATGCTGGTCCATTCATGGGCCGGATGTTTCTTGTTATCGTTGATGCACACAGCAAGTGGCTGGACATCCACGCTATGCACACTGCAACATCGCAAACCACAGTAGAACGGCTTCGTCAGACCTTCGCGACTCATGGACTGCCAGAACTCATTGTCACTGATAATGGCACCAACTTCACCAGTGCAGAATTCGCTAAGTTTCCGCAAGTCAATGGCATCAACCATGTCAGGTCTGCCCCATTCCACCCTTCGTCAATTGGTTTGTCTGAAAGGGCGGTCCAGTCCTTCAAAGCCGCTATGATGCGCATGAAGGAGGGCACTGTAGAGACTAAACTGTCACGTTTTCTGATGACATATCGCGTGACACCACATGCAACAACAGGGTTATCCCCAGCAGAGATGTTGATGAAACGCCAGCTTCGTAGCAGACTCGATGCAGTTAGACCAAACATCCAACTTCGTGTCGACAACAAGCAGCTAGCACAGAAAAAGTACCATGACAAGCGTGTCAAACCTCGTACTTTCAATACTCATGAGGCGGTCTTTGCTGAAAACTTCGCCTCTGGTCCTCGTTGGATCCCTGGTTTCATCACCTCCGCAATCGGTAACTGCATGTACACTATTCAGCTTGAGAATAGTCGTGTCTGGAGACGACATGTAGACCAGATCCGACCCTGCCAGGTACCCGCGACATCCGTCATTGATCCTTTCGTACCTATGTCTTCACCAAGGGTGGAGGAGTTGGACAGAAACGAGCCTAGTCCCAGTAGGAAGGAGGAACCTGCACATCCTGTGGATCCGGACAAATCTCAGAACGATCCACCAACACCACAACCTTGTCGATCTAAACGCACGCATAACAAACCAGTTCGATATGGGTTCCCAGATCTGTAACTGTTGGCAATAACTCACAGATTGATTGCATGATTTACATGTGCTGTTTAATCGTTGACCTTATTTAGGTTACTCCAGTTTAAATGTTCTGAACTGTTTCAAAGTTGCCATTGTTAAGATTGTTTTGGTTACAAGTTTAAAGTGTTTCATGTAAATGATTGAAATGCCAGTCTAGACTCATCACGTGATTATGGGAAAATTGTATTACGCTCATATTCAAACTTTGGACATTACTTGAACAGTGCCAGTTTTAAGTGCAAAGCATCAAGTGGTTAAGAA